ACAAACAGTCCAATTATCCTAAGTTAAATTGTCGTAGTTTGAAATAAAAAACCAATAAATAACACCAACATTGATGACGGAGAAACCCAATTGGGTAAAAACTTCGGAACCAAGTTAGTTACCTTCACTATAGACAATATGAATTTACAGTAAGATGCTGCCTAGCCAACTCCACTAGACTTTCTGATCTAATTCTTGTAACCTCCAAGATCAGCTGAGCCCACCAACTCCCGATCATCTGCAATTGTCTCTTCCAAGTGGAATTTCAAGAACTCCACGTTCTTGTGCTTGTTCTGCGCTTGTAGTCCAACCTCTTTCAACCTCCAGCTGCCTCTGAAATTCAAATGAGAAAGTACTTTCCCAAGGGTGTTTAGGAAGTAGGTGTTTTGGATTCAATGGATTCGATGTTTTTCCCCCAATCTATGGTTGTATCAATACATGAACAAGCTCTTGAATCTTCAAAGAATAATATGGAAATGTTATAGAGAAGAGGCACAATGATCAACCATGCTAAATTTCGTGCATAGGATTGGGTATTTATAGGAGAGAGTTATTTGGTTGAAGAGGCCGAAAAATACTTCAAAATAGCAAATTAGGGTTTTTCGGATCGACCTGTCGCTCGAGCGATAAGCTAGCGGCAGGCGAGACGCACTATCACTTGAGCGAGAACTCGGCGACAGCGGGTAACACTGTTTCTATTTATGTCGCTCGAGCACCAACTGGGCGAGAAGTTAGCGAAAATGCGGTTCTGTGTTTCTCCTTTTTTCATGCTCGAATCCTAGACTTCATAACCCAACTTGTACAAATTGTACCCTAAGTCCTTGACTTTTACAACACGTAACAAATTAGTCTTTTTGTCCGCAGAATCGCCAACACTAAAATCTAACAAACTCCCCATTTGGCATTCTGTGATAAAATTATACAATAAGTCAAGGAAAGCTAAAAACAAAATCTAAACTACCCAAGTTTCATGAAATTGATGTCTCTTGCATTCCTTGTTAAACCCGTTTCCTGAAATCTACAACTCAAATACCCAGTGTAAAAGCACGTGATACAAGAAATAATTAAATCATTAAACACATGATACTAACACTAGCTAGATTGAGACGTAACACTAACGTTAATCCAAACACCAACAAAAACATTAGCATCACAAAACATCAAAAACTTAAACAATTAGGTAGATATGGTATGGAATGCAACGCAACCAATAAATCTCCCATATCAATCTACATTATCTCAAAAATTTTAAAATTTTAAAATCTTCCATTCACAACATTTAATTTACTTTCCTCATTTTTGTCACAAATGACAAAGAGACGGATAATTAAAAACATCACAAAAATGCTTTGCTCTCCTCATTTTTTAACATTAACATATAATAA